TTTCTTGGGCCGTTCCGAGGCTCGAAACTTTCAGCGACTTCGGGGTGCTCATGGCGATAACTTCGATCGAGTATGTCTGTCTCCATGCCTGCATGACATAGCTTGCAAAGATAGTCTCATCTAGGACTATCCAAGAACCCATGTGGCGAAACTACGACTGAATTTTCCCTGAGGCATTCTACCCTTCTTCCGGATTGGCATCAGATGCTCCGGTCGCGGATAGTGGGACAGGCCCGCATTTGGGAACGGGTTCAGTCCCCTGCGGAAAGGGATTTGAGCTTTTTTCACGTCAACACGGCAAGAGGGGGACTCTGACACGGAGGCAACAGCAGGACACGGGAATATTTCGTTTCCAGCTTCTCCCACTGCAGCTTTGTCCAATAACTCTATAAGTACAATATGTACATCAGTTCCATTTTCTTCCGTTTCTTCGGGAATGAATCTGATCTGAAGCTCGGGATAATCAATCCCTCTTCATCACCTGATACAAACGTCTACAATATTTCGCCGCTAACTCGCGAGAGAATATCGCGTAGGAGAGGTCTAATCTGGAATCTCTCAAATCATATTTTTACGCACAGTGCAGCATAGTACATCGGAAATATCCGAGAGCTTCTTGAGAGATTCTCCCCGCGATGATTCACAGGAGGCTCGCATTTCAAAATCGGATACATCCCACGAAGTCTATGTCCGAGAGTATAGGAGTGTATCCGAGAGTCCCGGTATCGACAGCTCCGGGGTTCGGGAACACAGATGATACCCGCATAAATTTTGGAGATTTCGTGAAGCGCGCGAGGTCCCGTGGAAGAGTACGACTGCGAGCTCCCCGTGACCCAAGAATCGACCCGAATGGATGAGTTTCGCTGCCGCAGCTAGAATTGCTTGTTTTCCAATAACGAACTCCGCACGGAGATCGGCGTCATCGGCATGTCATGTATGTCGATCGACGGGGTCATCTCCGAGGATTTCGGAAATCGGACCTCCGAGTTTTCTATTGTAGCGTCAGGACTATCCCCAAGATCCTCT